GAGAGAGAGAGAGAGAGAGAGAGAGAGAGAGAGAGAGAATGGGATCAGTGAGCATAAGCAGCTTTCCTAAAAGCATGAAGTATTTGCTCACTTCCTATCAGGCTGCCGGTGTTGTGCTGCATTCTGTGACCGGATCAACTGCGTTCCTGCCTGCTGCTCATGTTTCCATCACTTCATGCTCAAAAAGCAAAGTCAGTGATGCTCTTCATCAGTCAGAGATCCACCTCCAAAACGAACAAGAAAAACACATCTGATTTCAGTTATGACGAGCTGTTTGTACTAACGTCATAAAACAAAAAGTCTTTCTAGAAGACAAATGAAACAAATGTCCCAAAGTCAGAGCCAGTGTTGTGTCAAAAAGTGATTGTTTGTATTTAAACTGCTATAAATAACTTGTTGGTCTATAATATGTGAAACATATGTCAAATGTATCCCTCATGAATGATATCAAGTCATCTTAAGCAACAAACAACATTCCTGTAACAAGGTAGATGCCGCAATCAGTTTTTGGCAGTGACTTTTTTGTATCCTTTATTTATGCAGTTAAAAAAATTCTTGTTGACTTTAAAAAGATCTCTTTCAAGAGTAATCGGGCCAAGGGGACAGCTGAAATTGCAACAAATGCAAAAATAGTTCTGTAAACATATTTTAAGTGGACAAAAGGGAGCTGATTGATTATAATGTAAGTACAATAACACAGGTATTTTTTTATTTTATATACACCCCTTTGTAATACCTGTTCACCAAAGTCTATTTAGCAACATATATAATGATATTACACATAAAAAACCCCACACGGAAACATTGGAAATCAGTTTTTGGCACAACACCTGTCTGCAGAGCATCTCAGTTGAGCATGGCTAAAAACCAGTAAACAGGCAGAATTATATTAATAAATCAACCAGCAGAGGGTGCTCTATAGGTTGGCTAAGTTTGTAGTTTTGCATTAAATTAGACAAGAGCCACTAGCACTTCTTCCTGGTGCCTTACAGTGGTTGCTAGAGGTTGCTGGCCGTTTTGGGGTGATATTGGTTGCAAACAGGGTGCTGCACCAGAAAAACCCCCTTTAATTGCTGTGGTTACTAGGAAGTTGCCATAGTCACCCATATTTTGCGTGCAAGGTGGCCACTTGTCTGCAAACACTCACTAACTAACCACTAGTAGTAGTGCAAACCAAACAGGAAACAGATAACTTTCAAAGTAAAGGTTGGGCCTCATTGCCAGACACATTCCACAAGACATGAGTGACTTTTACTTTGAAGGCACAGTCTTTGTTTTAACTAACTTAGCTAGCAGCTGTCAAATGTTTGCAAACAAGATGGCATCTTCCATCCAAACTACAGGCAACTGCAGCAATCTGTCAGCAACCAAAGCAGTTTCACCTTGCAACAGCAACTTTCTGCAACCACTTGTAAATCAATCAGAGAATATTGATTTTTCCTTTGCAGCCTGGGATTGCCATGGCGTAACTGTTCACGCTGATGGATAAACATCATATACATGACTTCCACACAGAGAGGTGACAGTGTCTGTTGTTTCTGTTAGATGAAATAACATGGAGTCACTCATAAATATCTCACAGTTGTAAGTCATTACCAAAGGATAGAGCAACAGGAGTAAAATAAGCTTAATGAGTAGTAGGCTCAAACTGTCATAAACCTCTGACGTGCTTGAGGGTTTGGCTTTGGGTTGGGCCTTCGGGGGCAGTGCAGTGAGCTGTGAGAATGCCAAAACTTTTCCAAGTCAAACAAACATTTAGATAACAAGACATATTGGCCAAAGCTGCTGCCGCAAACATGAATCATTTCATGCTCACTCAGATGACAAGCAGTATGCTGTGGGACCGACACGGTGAACTCTAAAAGCGGTCACACCTGCAGCGGAGCAGCCCCAACTGAAACAAGTCACGTGCAGACCATCGCTTGTTTTTTCTTCAGCACTTAAAATGCTTGCATTACGTTCCTGGAAGCAGCGCTTAGGCTTTTAAATCAGCACTGTCTCAGCTTTTCCAGTTAGCACGCTCTGAACACACACCAATACTTAAATAGCATGAGAGGAAATACAGGCATGAGACACACCACTGCTGAAAGGAATTTGTCCTAGGTGAAGAATTTCCCATGAACGTCTTCTTTAGCATTGCTTGGATCCTTTCCCCCCCCCTGTTGAACACTTAATTTGATTTCAAGCAATTTTCTTTTCTCACCCTTTAGTGTCATGCAGATCTAACCTTTTCAGCTTTCTTACTCTTACTGCCAGTCTAATATTAGCCTGGTAGTTTCATCTGGAACTGGATCCAAAACCTGACATGTACAAAACAGCATTGAGGGAAAAGCTCCCCCCAGAAGCTAAATGTCTTTTAAAATGGCCACAGAGCACTCTTGCTTTAAATCTGTGGTTTTTAAGGGTTTCCAACCTATCTCACACTTTAGTGTTAGCCATTGTCCCATGATGACGATTGCATCAAGCACACTCTGAATCAGCGCAGTTAGATCAGTTTCCATACAATGACCCACAAAATCCCAAGCAGGTGTTCATAAACAGCTGACACTAAGTGTGACAACACAATAGAATTTGTTTTAAAAAAAGATCTTCAGTCTGTCACAGTGATTCTCAGAAAGTTATGATAAAAAACAAACACACTATTCTGAAGCATTTTAAAAATATTACACACTAAACAAAGTGAAGTAACTTAAATGAATGGTAAGTCAACAAAAGTGAAAGTTGGGAGAATCAGGATTGTGAGAGGTGCAAGGAAGAAAAACAAAGAACTAACTCAGAGCAAGTACTAGCAACAGCTTTATAGACTGGAAAACCCAGTCAGCCCTGCCCTCCAGGTAGCTGAAACATCTACAGAGGAAAGGGAAGGCATTAAATGATGGGATCGGTCAGACTAAATTAAAGGAAAGGAAAATCTCCGAACTTAGTGCTTCTTTGAATGAATTCAAGTCTCTGGAGTGTGAATCAGCGCTGACACCAAATGCCGCACCACTGCTTACACAAACTAAATGTCAAATACCTCGAACTGGAAGCACATGCTCTACAAACACTGTCAGACAAAGGCAGAATGTGGGGAACCTTTACCATCTTCCCCTTTCAGCTGTTTGAATAAAATGAGTCTAGTAGTCAGTAGAAAATTAAAGGGCAGCTGGTTTTCCTATCTGAAACCCGTTTAACTGAAAGCCAACAGTCCATACAGGACGCGGCCTCCTTCCAAACTCATTGAAGGCTGTCTGAAAAAATCCATGAATATAACAGCAGTCAGTAACATGCATGATCTGCACAGCACAGGTCTGCAGTTAAGCTGAATTGGATATTCCACAAATACGTATGGGCTGACCTGCCACATGAGAAGGTCATGCCACGCTTACGAGTCAAGAGCAGCTACTCTAGTTTGGCTTTCCGCCTTCATATCTGTGTGTATAGAGATGCAGAGATATGGATTGTCATTTAGATGTTTTGCTTCCCTGGACCTGAACCACTTCCTGTAATTAGGTCCCATTACTTTAGAACTCATCAGATTTGTGCTTATTTTGATGCTTTTCTTCAGTAGAAGAAGGATTCAGTTCCTCCACTGCGGGAAAAAAACACTAAAACGTGTTTTTAGAGCTTCACGCATCATGGTGCTCTGCTCCTGGACCACCAACGGGTGAATAAAGAGTCGAACACACATTTTAGACTATATACAAACACGTGACTTCAGTAAAAGAAGAAAGAATGGAAAAATAATTATTTACAGGTTTGGTCCTATTTGATTTTTATTTCTCAGTAGAGAAAAAACTTTTAGCATTCTCAGCTGAATTTTAAAATGATGATCCACAGACTGTATACCTTCATATACATATACAGTAGGCACTATACTGTACATTAAGACACTGACTACGCTTGCCATTGCACGCACAACAAAATCCACACCCAAACCAAAGCTGATGTTTCTCTAAACAGGAAAATGTTCAACTGTCAGCCCAGCACTTAGAAATAACAATACAACTCTCTTTTTTTCTGTCCGCTTGCAGCACGCTCTTACTATTTATGGATTCTTTTCTCTTTAAATGGTTTTTAGTTTTACAAATTAAAGCATGAACTTCGAAATAGAACCAATAGAATTTCATCACCAACCCCAGGGCTTTAAAAAAAGACAGAAAAAAAATGCAGTTCTTCTAATGTCCACTAGAGGCTACAGCATAGACTCCCATGTTATTCTTGATTACAGCGTGCTTCAAAAGGGGTGTGGCCTCTTTGGCTGACCTGCAGAAAGGCTGTATCCCAATTCAGGGTCTGCAGCCTTAAAGGCTGCATTTTAAGGCCAATTACGTCACCGCGACGCGATGAAGGCTGTCCCAATTCGAAGGCTGCTCGAAATGCGTCCCTTAAATGAGATACAGCCATAGTTCACAGAAGTGGCTGCAGCTGCTAGCTGTCTGCTAGGCTTCACCTCAGCTAATTGGAGACCTCAGGGCCATGTTTGTGCTGTTAGAGCCTTTTGTTGTCATTTTAATAATTATTATTATTATCTAGCCAACAATATGGCTGCTGTGTGCGTAATCGTACTAACAGACCATTCAGTGAGTCCATTTCTAAACTTAAACTTTTATTTAGATGTTACTGTGCAGTAATTAGCAGGTATGTGTCTGTGTGATGCTGTTGTACTGTTTGTGAATGCAGCTTGACAGTCAAGCTAGCTAGCATAACATAACACTCCACCCTGTCATACAGATATGGTCTATATTCCTTCCTAGTTAAATTTACCCTTTTTAATTTTTCATATTTATTTCCTATCTTATTCATAGCCTTTCCTTTTTTGTTTTCTTTAGGTCATGAGCAGTTGTCCAAGCATTTCACTACATATCGTACTGTGTATGACTGTGTACGTGACAAATAAAATTTGAATTTGAATTTGAAATTTATATGCTATCTCTGAGGTTGAAGACAGATACTAAAACTAATGAGTGGCATTAAGGTGGGTATAGTCATCTTTTATTTACAGTCTATATAAGGTAAACACTCAGAAAGTAAGCAAATCAATTTTAAAAAATTTGAGGAACCTTGGCTGTCCACATGATTTTACTCCATACAGGTGATATTGCATATTTCAACACAAACTGATGTGTATCTGAATGTGTAACTGGTTTACTTTGAATTTGTGTCCCTGCATTTCTTCTCCTGCTGGCTATGTTTTCTTTTTTCCAAATGCAGCCTTTATTTATACTCCTTGTCTGGAAAAAGGCACTTAGTCTGGATTTGAAATTCTCAGAATCCAGTTTGATGGTTTACCGCCAAACGTCTCCTCACAAACATCATTAAACTCAATTTCCTTCCTCCGTCTTTCTTTTTGCAGGATGAATGGAAGCGGCTCAGCAGGAAATCCCAGCGCTGCCTCGTCTTGCTCACTTCCTGCCCACGCTAACGAGGGGACGCTGAAGACAGAGCCTCCGAAGAAGGACCACCAGAGCAGAGAGTCTGCCAGTGTGCCTGGGTCACAGAAGAACCAGAGGCCAGGAGGGAACAAACAGGCTAAAGATCCTCACACGGAGAAAACCTCAGAAAATACTCCAGAGACAAACAGGCTAAAGGCTAAAGATTCAACTTCTTCAAAAAATGAATCAAAACCAGATCGACCACAACCAGAAAACCTCTTTCCAGACCAAACCGAACTAGATCCTGTTCTTGAATCAAAAGATTCTGGTTTGGGGGCAGATCAGAGGAACCTTGGAGATCCTGCCAGACCAAAACATGAACAAGAACCGGGTGACTCTCAGGACTGTCAAAACCACAAAGATCTTTTTTGTGCAGATCAGAAAACTAAAGATGAGAAAAGAAACTCATTTATAACTTTGCTAACAGATGAAAAGGATGTCCAGAATAAGCTCCATATTTCTGAGTCCATAGAGGAGAAAAAACCTGAGAGGCTTCAGCATTTCCAAGATCCTCCTCACCTAAACACCCACAAGTCTCCTCCCCCTTCTCCTGCAGACCAGAAAAGACACTTGGATCCTCCAGCTAAAAGATCCGCCCTGGCTCCACCAGCTCCACCTCTCACCATTGAGGCTTTCTGTGACCAGATGCAGCCCGGCCCTGCAGGTTTTCCTTCCGGGGAGCCCAAACTGTGCGGCTTCCTGATGAAGCAGGGTGGGCCTCTGAGGGCCTGGAAGCAGCGCTGGTTCACTTACGAGGAGAAGAAGAACCAGCTGTTCTACTACCGCACACCAAACGACGTGATGCCGCTCGGGTGGGTGGAGCTCAGCGGTGCCACCTTCACCTACCCACTGAAGTCAGAGCCGGGTACCTTCCAAATTAAGACACCTGAACGCACTTTCATACTGAAGGTAGGTGGCCAAATGTTGCTTAAAGCATTTTTGGATTTGAGTCGCAAGTGTTTGGAGTCTCTTAATCCACCTGCACCCTCTCCAGGCTGTGACCGAGGAGCTGATGCTCTATTGGCTGCAGCAACTACAGGTGAAGCGCTGGCAGCACCGAATGATGTCCATGTGCTCAGACCCAACAAACAACAACAACAACACTGCAGGTGAGAAACCAGCGCGAGCTGCTGCTCGAGCTTCTACATGGAACGCTGAGACATGAACTTAACTGTTTTAAAGTTTCTCCAGGATGTAGTTACAGCGAGCAACAATAAAAGTTTATTTAAAACAAAAGCCCTGAACACTGACAGAAGATCTGCTTCGTCTAATCTTATTTTGAAAATATCAGTAAATTACAGTTTGGTGAGCTTCAACCACCATCCACTAGAGGCTCCAGCAGACCCCATAGTGCAGGGGTGGGCAACTCCAGGCCTTGAGGGCCGGTGTCCCTGCAGGTTTTAGATGTGTCCTTGAACCAACACAGCTGATTTAAATGGCTAAATTAGCTCCTGCAGTTCTCCAGAGGCCTGGTAACGAACTAATCATGTGATTCAGGTGTGTTGACCCAAGGTGAGATCTAAAACCTGCAGGACACCGGCCCTCGGGCCTGGAATTGCCCACCCCTGCCTAGTGAGTCACTCCTGAAAGAACATGTTTACAGCCTGATTTTTAAAAAGGGGGCGTATCCGTTTATGACTGCCAGGTGGCTGTAGCTAGTAGTGTTCACCTCAGCTAATTGGAGTCCCTGAACTGGACCTGTGGACTGCGTTTGTGCTGTGGGAGCCTTTTTAATGCTAACAGATATTATTAATTTCGTTAACTCATAATTTGCATCATAACTTTCGTCAGGACGAATTTGGCGGCGATCCAATCTGAATCAACTTTTGATTTAGTCTCCTAGTCTGATGATGTTTAGTTGACTAAAACTAGTGATGGGCAGATGAAGCTTCATGAAGCACTGAAGCTTTTCATCCAATTGGTTCACCCCAGCGCAAAGCTTCTTGAAGCTTCATTTGCTCTAGTAGGACACCTACTGGACGTAAAAATATTAGTTGGCATGAATTTGAAGAGTGTGGCCTTTTGCACACAGCCTGTAAATGTCAACAACAAAAGGAGTGTGTAAAACATGTATATTGTAGTGATGGCAGTATACTGTGTATATTTATACTGGCAGTATGGAAAATGATTATTTGGAAATGCTTAAAATGGAAATGATCATTTACTGTGAGGTGAGGTGTGGTTGGGGTGTGGACAGTAGTTGTGCTTTTGTAACGTTGAGGTATGGACAGCTACACACTGAGGCCTCAGTCCTGCCCATATTTTATTCAGTAAAAACTAAATTTTCACTGCTTTTATAACCTTTAGTGGGGAGAACATAGCTAGGATTTAATGATTTAACAAATCTTTTGAATCCTTTGTCCTCCACAATGCTAAATGGCTGGGAGTCCTCAATCACCATGCTAACCAGGTCTTCATCTATTTGAGATTGTTCTCCTGAGGAAAGACAATAAAGACAAAGCACAAATATAAATATCACACACGTAACTTATTACAGTTGTATAATATTGTTATATCATTTAGTAACATTACTGCATGCTATATTATCATGGCATTTGATGGCTCACCTGGTCTTGCTCCACAATCGGTGTTCCCCTTATTCTCATGCAAAGCTCTGTAGTGCCTAAGCATGGATGAGGTGTTGTTGTTATATCCCAGCTCCCTGGCACATAGCAAACACTTCACCTTGTACAAAAGTAAAGACAGCTTAACATAAATTGTATTGCACCATCAGTATCATGAAAATACATCTTCTGTAGAAATTTACATACCTTGTTGGGAGGAATAAGATCAAAATGTTCCCACACAGGGGAGGACATCCTCCTCTTCTTAGCTGGCTCCATTCTCTCCTGACTTTCTCTCCTCACTCTCATAAACCTCCAAACGGTCTCCAAACTCTCACTAACCGCAACTCTCCATCAAACACCCATTTTTGAATGAAGTCTGAGGGGTTTATATCGCTGTCATATCTCGCGGCAAAGTTCGAACCACTTCATGAACCAGTCACGTGGTACAGCCGGGCAGCGAGGCTTCGGACGTCATCATTTTCAGCTCCTCCCATAAATGAAGCAAGCCTCGATACGCGCATCGCGGAAACGCCCCCTCCATTACTCGACACAAGCTTCGAAGCCTCGATACAGAACGTCACATCACTAACTAAAACTAAACTTTCAGCATTTGCTGTCCAAATGAGTTGTGGTCCCAGAAGAAGTCTGATCTCTGTGTCTGTGTGATGCACCTGTACAGTGTATGCCTCTCATCCACACGTGGTCACTTCTAGCTCTATTAATGTTGAGGCTTCAGAATGCAGAAGCTACAAAGCTGTGAGTTTCCCATCTCATTTTTATACCCAGTCTGTGGTTGAAACAGACTTTCAGTCTCCAACTTGTTTTTCCCGTGACTCTCACCAGAAGCTTCTTCAGACCTTTTCTGGTGTGCTTTCACCTCTTTTGTCTTTATCGGCCCTCTCATGTTCATGTTTGGTCTCTCATGTTCAGGAAGTGAGTGATCTTCCTCTTCCTCCTTTGTGTCCCAGCAAGAATTGGGAAATCCTTCCATGAGGCATGGGAGGGGCTCAGACTGACTCACTGTTCCCTGAAAGTCTAAAATTGCGTCAGAATAAAGGATCGAGCGAGTCATTTAGCATGCACTGACTGGTTTTGTTCCTCTTTTCATAGAAATATTTCAGGTTATACTTTTGTCACAGAGAAGAAGCTGCTTTTCCTTTCATTGTGTCTTCATATATGTGGCTGTTTTTCTTTTTTGTTTAGGTCAGCATGAAGGAGTTTACAGGGTCTCTCTCTGTGCTTCTTACACCCTTATCATCCTATTTAGGACCTGAGTTTGGAGATGGAGATCATCAAAATCCCAGCAGGGCCATTAAAAATTAAGCAGAGGAGCAGGTGGGGAAATTCACCGCTCCCTCCCCACTGAAAGGCACTAAACATGAATCCAGTCTGGTTTTATTTCTCTATGCATTATGTCGGGATTCACTGATCAGCTTTTAGTTGAAAGTCCTCTTGTACAGACAGCCTACGGTCAGTTATCCGTCAGTGTTAAGCAGGCAGAGACTAGCTGAAGCTAAGCACAGCATTCCTATGACAGCAGTGGTAAACACAGTCATGCTGTGTTTAGGTGCAATGCTGGACAGCCTCCAACTGACAGACGAGGTTAAAATTGGTGACAGTGTTCACTGACTCAAACTAATTGAAAATATTAAGCACTCTGATGAGCTCTTTCAGCCTTTTGAGTTTCTGTGTTTGATCAAATAAACCATTTTTAAATGGCCTGCATTTGTATAGCGCTTTACTTAGTCCCTAAGGATCCCAAAGCGCTTTACACTACATTCAGTCATTCACCCATTCACACACACATTCACAATGGCAGCTACATTGTAGCCACAGCTGCCCTGGGGCGCACTGACAGAGGTGAGGCTGCCGGACACTGGCGCCACTGGGCCCTCTGAGATCACTGTAGGCAACGGATGAAGTGTCTTGCCCAAGGACACAACGACCGAGACTGTCCAGGCCGGGGCTCGAACCGGCAATCTTCCGATTACAAAACGAACTCCCAACTCTTGAGCCACAATCGCCCATGGCTTAATCTTAAATTATACTTTTGCGGATGAAGTAAAAAGTGTGATTTTACTTCTGTTGTGTGCCTCTACTGTTGTCTATTAACAAGTAAGCGCATTAGAGGGTTAAAAAGGTTAAAAATTAAATCTTCACTTAGCAAAAATTATGCAAATGTGATTAAATGAAATCATGAATGAAGCTTGTACTAAAAAGTGTTATCAGTCCAAGTACTTCATGTAGCATGCAGTCAAATACTTCACCTCTGAAAATATTTGACTTTTAAGAGGCCATCACGGCTCATTTCACCAAATATTGGTGGTGCCCGATATGCTCTGTGATGTCGCCCTGTGGAGCTGAGGATCATTTCCTGTTATGGTTCAGTTACATCATCATCTGGACAGGAAGCGATTCTGACTGCAGATCAGCTGCGTGCGACTGAATGAGAGGAAACCCCCACAGACTAAATATAAACTGGCGAGCAAACACCTGCTGGAAGGAAAAAAAAAACTGAGTGGCACAGCTCAGAGCTTCATTCTTTCATTTTTTTATCGTGAGATAAAATTTGTATAAAACAAGCATTGAACCTCCTCTGTTTATCAGTCTGACTACTGGAGCAGCTCACCTGGCTCTCAGGTATTCAGTACATGTCCCAGCTTGTTCAGCACTTTTACGTCTCAGCTCAGCTCACAGAGACGGCTCCATTGTTTGTTTGTTTTTAATTATCCTTCATGTAGGTGTTCAGAGCCTAATCTGACAGCGTGGAGATCTTTCAGTGCCCCCTGCAGGGTCTTTATGACATGGCCTGGAGATCCTCCCAGACTCATCCCAATATATACAGTGAAAATCGCAAAATTTCTTAATTTTTAAAAGAATCATTTTTTAAAATTGTTTTTATCTACGTTTGTGTTGTTTAGGCATCAGAATTACTCAACTACTTCAGTAAATCATTCCTATTATATTATAAAACACCTTTCAGGCACACACATTTCTGGATTATACCTTTTTGTAGCTGTTTCTTTTATTTATAGTCTAAACATTATTTATTAATACAATCTGCAACTCTTTCACAATTTTAGTCTTGCTTTCTACTTTTCTTTAACTTAAACTTATTTTTATTTTTTTGTTTTGTTTTATCACTGTTGTGCATATAATACCTATTTGTCGAGCTATCTTATCCATCTAACTAATAGCTATCTTTTTATCTATCTAGCAATCTAGCTAACTATCTAGAATTCACATTAATCACATTATTGGACATCTAGTATGGAAAATTTTAAAAGAAAAAGATAATGGAGGTAGAAGTGCAAATAATTTTACATAAGGGGGACAAAAAATACACTGAACAAAAATATAAATGCAACACTTTTGTTTTTGCTCCAATTTTTCATGAGCTGAACTTAAAGATCTGAAATATTTTCTACATACACAAAGGACCCATTACTATCAAATATTGTTCACAAATCTGTCTAAACTGTGTTAGTGAGAACATCTCGTTTGCTCAGATAATCCATCCCACCTCACAGGTGTGCCATGTCAAGGTGCTGATTAGACAGCATGAATATTGCACAGGTGTGCCTTAGACTGCCCACAATAAAAAGCCACTCTGAAATATGCAGTTTAATCACACAGCACAATGATACACAAGTCGCAAAACCCGTCAGTATCTGGTGTGGCCACCATTTGTCTCACACAGTGCAACATATAGATGTGTTGCACTGTGTGAGGCAAATGGTGCGCAATGGGCATAGAGTTGATCAGGTTGTTGATTGTGGGCTGTTGGTCCACTCTTCTTCAATACTTGTGTAAAGTTGCTGAACATTAGCAGGAACTGGAACACGCTTTCATGTGACAAACTGCTGTCATGTGACGACCTGCAGTCAGGTCCAGTCCCCGATAAGGACGACGGGCATGCAGATGAGCTTCCCTGAGATGGTTTCGGACAGTTTTCGCAAAAATTCTTTTTTATGCAAACTGATTGTTGCTGCAGCTGTCTGGGTGGCTGGTCTCCACCTGGTCGACCATCCTAGAGGTGAACGTGCTGGATGTGGAGGTTCTGGGCTGGTGTGGTTACATGTGGTCTGCGATTGTGAAGCCGGTTGGATGTACTGCCAAATTCTCTGAAACGCCTTTGAGGACGGCTTATGGCAGAGAAATTAACATTCATTTCACAGGCAAGAGTTCTGGTAGACATTCCTGCAGTCAGCATGCCAATTGCACGCTCCCTCAAAAGCTGCGACTTCTGTATCATTGTGCTGTGTGATCAAACTGCATATTTCAGAGTGTCCTTTTATTGTGGGCAATCTAAGGCACACATGTGCAATATTTATGCTGTCTAATCAGCACCTTGACATGCCACACCTGTGAGGTGGGATGGAGTATCTCGGCAAACGAGAAGTTCTCACTAACACAGATTTAGGCTACGTCCACATGTACACGGATATTTTTGAAAATGGAGATTTTCCGTTTCCGTTTTAAAAAATAATCCCGTCCACACGTAAACGCAAAAGTGAAGGAAAACGCTGCTAGGAACATGCCAAAGCAACAGGTGGCGATATATTCCTAAACGTGTAGAAATGTTGGCCAATCAGAAGTCTAGAAGCCTCGGTGGGAAATAGTAAACAAAGATGGCACAAAGAAGCAGAACCTATGTGTGCAGGGACAGTAACTGTGTGTGTATGTGTAAGCATTTAAACACTGCAGAGAGTACAGTTAACAGTATTTTGTCCCCCACTGTAGAAATTAATTTCACCGAAACAATAACATGGCGCACACCTTTGACGCTGCGTTTTCTCAGTTTTCCTCATCCACAAGTAAATGCAAAAATGGAGCTTTCAAAAATATCCACCCTGGCAGGCGTTTTTAAAAAATCTCAGTTTTCAGTGACCGAAAACGCCGTTTACGTGTGGACGAAAGGTGCAAACGCATAGAAAAATCTGCGTTTTCAAAAATACCCGGGTACGTGTGGACGTAGCCTCAGACAGATTTGTGAACAATATTTGATAGTAATGGGTCCTTTGTGTATGTAGCAAATGTTTCGGATCTTTAAGTTCAGCTCATGAAAAATGGGAGCAACAAAAGTGTTGCGTTTATATTTTTGTTCAGTGTAATAATTAAACAATTTAAGACCCGTCAGTGAAGTGTGCTAAGGTTCAGACTCGTAAAACAATTAGCCTGAGCTTTTTTTCAACAGTTTTAAAAAGAGTGAACATCTTTATATTCCTGTCACCTTTCTTTTTTTGCCTGGACGCAAGAGTCATAGCTGAGCCAGTGTTGATGTGTTTTGATCTTTCCATACAACAGAACCCTTTACCAGAGATTTGGAAGTGTGCCTTTTTTTTTTTACTTCCCTACTGAAAACTGGTGATTCTTCAATGGTCAATAACTACAGTACAGACCAGTTTCCAAACTCTGGATCTTAGTCTGGTAAATAATCACCTTAGAGTTTCTTGGATTATAGTAGTTTTTCTTTATCTCCTTCTCTGTCTGGCTTTAGGAAATTGCAATGCAATGAAACTGCTTTCTTAAAAGTTCTTAATGATGTTTATTGAGCCTTGAAAGCCTTCAAAGAACTACTGTGCTGCTCTTTTTATTGGTTTTTCAAAACCTTTAGCACTATTGACCATGGCATTTTATGCCAGAGGCTACTGGTCGTAGGCCTTTCAGACCAAGCAGTTTGGTGTATTACTAATGACTTTTCTGACCATCAGCAGTGCACGTAGCTCAGTGGCCTCTCTTCCAGAGAGTGCCCCAGGGTTATGTAGTGGGGCCTGCACTATTTACTATTTATGTTAATGGCTGTGGACAAAATCTTAATGCTTCGGTTAATTTTTACACAGATGATACAATTATTTATTGTGTTTTGAATTTATACAGTCACAGCTGTGTCAGCTCAGACTGCTTTTGAATGCAGGAAAAAAAACTAGTTTATGTGAAAATTACTGAAACTGAGGCTGAAGTTGGGCTTCTTTTTCCAAAAATCAATCGTGTTTCTCTTTCACAGCAAGGAAAAGGCTCATTGTTACCACCTGTTAACCCCTCCTGGATTACAGCGATAAAATTTAGATGAATGCCTCTGCTCTTTCTCTCCATTTCATGGACTGTTTATCACAGGGCACTAAGATTTACAAGCAGCTGTAAACCTTTGGCACGCCACTGTACTTATATTCTCTGGTTGACTGGCTCTCACTGGCCATATGCAGGATGGTTCATTGGTATAATTTTATCTGTAAATCTATGTATGGTTTACTCCCTTCTTATTTATCAGAGTACACATCATGCAAACAGTTTAGTCATAGTCTGCAGTCTCAGGACTTTATTACAGTCACCATCAGTTCATACAGAACTCAGAAAGAAGGCATTCCTCTTTTTCTGCCCCATCTTTGTGGGATACACGATATGACATCAGCTGATGTCACTTGTAGACTTTAAAAGACGTACAAATGACTTTGTGAAATCATCCCTGGGAACTTGTTCCTGTTTTTGACATGAACGTGTAAACGTTAGACAATTTTAGCTATTCTATTGTTTCTTCTATTGCTGCGATTTTAATGTTTGTCTGACACAGGTCACTCTTGTAAATGAGACACCGAGTCTTAATGAGACTATATAAGAGAGTGTATAAGTAAAGGTCAAATAAAAAGTATTTAAACATCAAACACACATTCATTGAAAATAAGCAGCTAGAAGAAAACACACAGGCTTTGCGTGTGTGTCTGAGGTGTTGAATGTCTGTGTGTGTTTGTGCAGATGACTTCCTGCCAGTGTTGAAGAGCCCCATCGGTCTGGTCGGGGAGGGGGCCGCCAGTGTGCCGATGACGCGAATTCCCCTCGCCAACGTGTCGCTCAAGCATCCGCTCATCGAGATCCAGTGAGTCCCCTCGGCCACAAATCTGAGACATTTAAATGGCTCAGACAGTCTGATGTCTTCCACTTGTTTTGTTGTTGGTCTTCATGTTTCTTCTTTCTGAGTACAGAAACTCAGTCCACTGTCTGCGTAAGAGGTCATCCCAGGACTGGAGTCAGAGCGTGTTTCATGTAGAAGCTCCTCCCTGGATTCCCCCGAACATTGCCGACACAGTCAACACCCCCAGTATGTATATACAGTACTACAGCAGTACTACAGTAACTAGCCAGAGCTTAGAGTACACCAGTAATACCATTTTTATTCATCTATGAAACCACATGACGCAAATCAGTTAAACTACAGTCATAACTTAAAGACTTGAATGATGTTAAATTTTCTCCTTTTAAATTCACACAAACTGAAGTTTTTTATTGTACGCGGCCCTAAAAACCTCAGAAACTTGGTGTCCAACCAGATCCTTATTCTGAATGGTGTTACCTTTGCCTCCAGCAGCCCTGTGAGGAGTCTCGGAGTCACTTATGTCCGTCAGTGCGCACATTAGACAAATATGTAGGCCTTTTTTGTTTCATATATGCAACATCAACAAAATTAAGAACATGGCCTCAAAGTGATGCTGAAATATTAGTTCACAGATTTCCTACTTCTAGGCTGGACTCTTGGAATTCATTGTCAGGTTGTTCTTAAAGCTCGTTGAAAAGCCTTCAGCTGTTTGAAATTCTGCAGAATATAACAGACGAGCTCCCCAGTTTGGATTTAGGAACACTCTCTACTTTTCCTATTAGATTTCTCTTTTTAATAAACCTTGTAGTTAGTGTTGTGTAGGTGACAGGTGACAGTGAACCAAACCATGTTATGAATGTTTCCACCCACATTTGGTCGAGACAGATTGCTGCCCCACTCTGATCCTGCTTCTGTTGAAGGCATCTTCTGTCATAAAGTGCTCCACATGGAGGATCATGTAATCACTGAAGTCTCTCTAATACTGTAAGGCCTTTACTTTGAGATAATAAGGCAGCATTTTTGTGATTTGGGGTATAGAAATAAAGTTGATGCCTGCGGTGCCCATCAGATGTGGAAGGAAGAAGATGCATCTATAGTTACCTGTGACTTTAAATTGGACTTGAACTGGGACTTTTTCATTTTGACTTCAGACTAAACACATAAACATCAGCCTGAACTGTGACTCACCTGTACTGAGTATTTTGTACCTGATTTGGGCCGTGGTCCGCTTCAGTCCTCGGGTTTTTATTAAGAGCTTGTTAGTCTGTGTTTGTCCTGTAAATTACCACCATCAGTTTCTTTACAATTCAATTTTATTTATATGGCGCCAAATCACAACAAAAGTCGCCTCAAGGCGCTTCATAGATACAGAGAAAAACCCAACAATCATATGACCCCCTATGAGCAAGCACTTTGGCGACAGTGGGAAGGAAAAACTCCCTTTTAACAGGAAGAAACCTCCGGCAGAACCAGGCTCAGGGAGGGGCGGGCCATCTGCTGCGACCGGTTGGGGTGAGAGAAGGAAGACAGGATAAAAGACATGCTGTGGAAGAGAGACAGAGGTTAATAACAGATATGATTCAATGCAGAGAGGTCTGTTAATACATAGTGAGTGAGAAAGGTGACTGGAAAGGAAAAACTCAATGCATCATGGGAATCCCCCGGCAGCCTATGTCTATTGCAGCATAACTAAGGGAGGATTCAGGGTCACCTGGTCCAGCCCTAACTATATGCTTTAGCAAAAAGGAAAGTTTTAAGCCTAATCTTAAAAGTAGAGATAGTGTCTGTCTCCCGAATCCAAACTGGAAGCTGGTTCCACAGAAGAGGGGCCTGAAAACTGAAGGCTCTCCCTCCCATTCTACTTTTAAATACTCTAGGAACAACAAGTAGGCCTGCAGAGCGAGAGCGAAGTGCTCTAATAGGGTGATATGGTACTACAAGGTCATTAAGATAAGATGGGGCCTGATTATTTAAGACCTTGTATGTGAGGAGCAGGATTTTGAATTCAATTCTGGATTTAACAGGAAGCCAATGAAGGGAAGCCAAAACAGGAGAAATATGCTCTCTCTTTCTAGTCCCTGTCAGGACTCTTGCTGCAGCATTTTGGATTAGTTGAAGGCTTTTCAGTGAGTTTTTTGGACATCCTGATAATAATGAATTACAGTAGTCCAGCCTGGAAGTAATAAATGCATGAACTAGTTTTTCAGCGTCACTCTGAGACAGGATATTTCTAATTTTAGAGATGTTGCGCAAATGGAAGAAAGCAGTCTTACATATTTGTTTAATATGTGCGTTGAAGGACATGTCCTGGTCAAAAATGACTCCAAGGTTCCTCACGCGTTACTGGAGGCCAAGGTAATGCCATCCAGAGTAAGAATCTGGTTAGATACCATATTTCTAAGATTTTCAGGGCCGAGTACAATAACCTCAGTTTTATCTGAATTAAGAAGCAGAAAGTTAGCGGCCATCCAGGTCTTTATGTCTTTAAGACATTCCTGCAGTTTAACTCATTGGTGTGTGTTATCTGGCTTCATGGACAGATAGAGCTGGGTGTCATCTGCAACCACTGCAGCACAGTACCTGTAATACCTACAGCATGTTCTAATCGCTCTAATAGGATATTATGGTCAACAGTATTGAACGCTGCACTGAGGTCTAGCAGGACAAGCACAGAGATGAGTCCACTGTCAGAGGCCATAAGAAGATCATTTGTAACCTTCACTAAAGCTGTTTCTGTGCTGTGATGAGCTCTGAAACCTGACTGAAACTCTTCAAATAAGCCATTCCTCTGCAGATGATCTGTTAGCTGTTTGACAACTACTCTTTCAAGGATTTTTGATATGAAAGGAAGGTTGGAGATTGGCCTATAATTAGCTAAGACTGCTGGGTCTAGAGATGGCTTTTTGAGTAAAGGTTTAACTACAGCCAGCTTGAAGGCCTGTGGTACATAGCCGATCATTAGAGATAGGTTGATCATATTTAAGACTGAATAATTAATAAATGGCAGGACTTCTTTGAGCAGTTTTGTAGGAATGGGGTCTAAAAGACACATTGATGGTTTGGAGGAAGTAATTATTGAAGTTAACTCAGAAAGATCAATTGGAGAAAAAGAAAAAGAGTCTAACTTAACATCAATGGTACTAAAAGTAGCTGTAGATAATATTACATCTGTAGGATGATTATTGGTCATTTTTTCTCTAATGATAAAAATTTTATTTGTGAAGAAGTTTACCCGCTTCAGCATCCAGGCGTGTGACTTCTTTTAATCCTTCTCTGTCACTTCTCAGGTTCTCCAACCCTCAGCACTCCCTCTGAATCCCCGAGCCTCTCCCCTCCCCTACCATTGCTCAATGCCGCTGATCAGGCGCCCCCTACAGATGGCAGGGAGTCACCATCACTGTTTGAGAGTTGCAGCCGCAGGGTGAAGGCTCGCAGCGCGTCCACCTTGCCTGTCCGCCGCAGAGACATGGCGTCTCAGTCCTCAGACCGGATAGGCCGCTTGCAGCAGGAGAAAGAGATGCTGATGGAGGAGGTCAAAGCTCAGAAGGTGATCAGTCGTTCAGTAATCATAAAGTTTTATTGATCTCTGCTGCCACTGAAAAAAGTGACAAACACAGCGCCTCCTGCAGGAGCTGGTGTGGATCCTCCACAAAGCGCTGGAGGCTTCTCAGCTGGAGAAGCGAACCTGTGCCGAGTTTTTGGCAGAGGAGGATGAGCAGGAACGTCTGGAGCTGCTCCGACACCGCGAGCGGCAGGCGGCCGACCTCCGGGGGCGGCTCGACGAGGCCAAGATGGAGGTGGAGATGGTGAAGAAGAGTCTGGCTGAGAAGGCCACGCAGGTCGCCGAGCTGCAGCACAACAACAGGATGCTGAAGGAGAAGAACAACGCCAAACAGGAGGTGAGGACAAACCAGAGGTTGCTGTCAGACTGACCTCTGGTTGGTCACGTTAAAATAAACCTGTGCACGTTTGTTTCCATGACTGAAAGTTTCTCTGAGATCTGGAGCTGTTCCTGGAGCTGCTGCTGGCTCAGGAAAAAAAAAGAAAAAAAAAAAGCACAAACCGAATGTGGGTGGATGTTGATTAGATCAGACAGAGGGCCTCTCCTGTGCATTCAACGCTTCACCTAAATGACCAGCCCAGATGATGGATGTGCCATGTGATTCGTTGGAAAACTGAGAATTGTAGCCAAAAGAACAAAAAAGGGGAACGTTTAAGGAAGATCACAGAGCAAAATGCTCATTGAGCGAGCTCCGTGTCTTCATTTTTAAAGAGCGGTTGGCAGGTTGGTGTTCTGTGATGTTACTTAGGTCTTTTCAGGAGGTGTTTTTTTTTTTTTTTTAATATTTTCTGATTCTTCAAGTTTGTGCCTCCTTATTTGGACCGTCCGCCTACCTTTGACCTGGATTTGAATTGTTGTACGCCACACTGAAACATCTCAATTCCTAAAATTCATCAGGAGGAGAGAGGAAGCTGCAGGAGTTATGACTGACGATTAAAAAAAAAAAAAAAAAAAAAAAAAACGTGCTGAGAGTAGGGTTCTTTAGGTAGCTCGTCCTTCATAATCATGAGTTGTTTCAGTTATTTAAAATGATCAGCTGTGTCAGTTTGAGTGCCACATACACTGCAGTTTGATCTCAAATTCGTGGAATTAGTTTACTGCAGATTTCTGAATCCAAGACAAATATTTAGAAAGAAATTATGTCTTTTTAAGTCCAAACACATTCTGAAAAGGTTCATGTTTAATATGCTGCGAGCTGCTTACGAAGTCTAAGACATACAACTTCACTCAGTTTTCTGCTGTCGCAGGTTTAAATAGCATTTCGTTATCATTCAAGCACAGGAGCAGTCTTCTGCTCCTGTGCTGGCTTTCTCACACCGCGAGTAGGAGATGATTTTATTTTCCAGATATCTGAACTTTTAAATTTTCACTTCATTCAAAGCCACCCAAGACTGCACTGGGCCCTTTGGTGGGCCTAATCCGGCCTCCGGGCTGCATATTTGACTCTGTCAGGGTTTCATTTTAATTCTGTTTTATGTGTGGCGTGCATTATGACCATATAGCTCAATCAACTGCTCCACCCAGTGGTCACGTATCGTATCTAGGCAGTAACTGGCTCTGTGACTCAGCTTCTTCTTCCTGCCTGAACCAAAACAGGACGCACCTACGCAACATGAGAACGGCTGAAATGAAGCTGAACGATTCTTTATTCTAATTTTGTGTTGTTGAATCACCGCCTGCAGCTGGCAGACAAATAGAAAGTGCTTAGAGTTACAAGCACTTCTACTTGAGTAAATGTACTCATTTACTTTTTCTTGCTTCCTGTGAGCTTTGTGTGACAGTAAAACATGAAGTCTATCTGCAGCTGTACTCACTGTGCGACTGTTTCCTGTCAGGTGATCATAAAGCTGTCCGATCAGGTGACAGCGTGTCTGTCAGAACCGCGGCGCCCCGACTCGTCCTCTGCCGGCCGCATCAACTCTCAGACTCTCAGACAGCTTCGGCAGGAGAACAACAACCTCAAGGTGAAGCACAGTGATAACTTACAGCGAATTACAGTTTTACTTGAAGGTACAGAGTGTAAGTGATTGTGTTTTAAAGAAAGTTTAAAAACCTTCCAAAATGAGCTGAAGCTATCAAAAGTAAAGAAACAGCCGATATTACGTTACTGAGTCTAAAACCTCTTAAACCTCCCAGGTTGTCTGTGTTTGTGTCTGCAGGATGACATCGAGGCATATAAGACTCAGAACAAGTTTCTGAACTCTGAGATCTACCAGCTGACCAAACTGTGGAGGAAAAGCTCAGAGCAGGAGAAAACCCTGATGGTGAAGGTCGGTCTGATGCCATTTCTGTTCATTTAAACACTCCACCACCACACAGAGCTGCTATGGGCCAGCTACAGCCCACAGCCTACAGCACAGTGATTAATGCCTTTTCCTGCCCTCTGATTGGCTGCAGTGTGCTTTCCTGGAGGCCACTAACTGTCAGGTGGAGAGCCGTTACCTGGGAGTCCTGCGGAGGCTGCAGGAGATCAAATCTCTGCATCCGGCCCAGCGGGAGGCCGTGCAGAAAATGATCGAGGACGCTCTGAAGGGAGAGCTGAAGAGAGTCACGAAGCTCAGCGTGCACAGGTACGAGCACCTGAACAGCAGGGTAGACAAAATAACAGACACAACCTGCTTCTTTCTCATTCAAGAGTCACTTGACATGACAATTAAAAACTCAGAAGAAGAAACTCTAAATAGATCAAATTTTTTACTGTTTACTCCAGACCTGATGAATGTGTTAAACATCTGCTGTGTCCTCAGGGATCATGATGAGTACGGCTTTAAGATCATCCCAGACTACGAGGTGGAGGACATGAAGCTGTTGGCAAAGATCCAGGCACTGGAGATTCGCTCCCACAACCTGCTGCACCAGGTCCGAGAAATCAAAGCTTACAGCCGCTCATCCGGGGGAGGTTAAATAAACTCAGTGCGACACCCCCCCAGCAGGCTAGCAGGGCCTGCTGTCACTAATCAGGGCTAAAAATAAATAAATAAATAAAAATAAATAAATAAATCAGCCCAAACCTTCTTTCAGCTGCTCCCTTTAAGGGGGTTGCCAGAGCCAATCATCTGTCTCCACCTGTCTGTAATGCGGTTAAAGGACCAGGGCGCCTGACTGCAGCATCATAGACAATGAGCTATCAGAATAAGGTTCGACTGTGAAGCCTGAGGGTGTGAGTAAAACACAGGAAATCAAAGTTGAGCTCAATAAAATAAACATATATATATAAACACCCAGCACGCCCCTGCGGGCGGTTTATCCTTCAAGCTCGGGTCCTCTACCAGAGGCCTGGGAGC